AATTAGATTGAGGGCTTTAGGCAGTGGTCCTACCCTAGCTCACGTACAGAGAAGGTGGGCTGGCAGAGAGAAAGAACAAGCTCTAAAAACAGCTCAGCTGAATGAATGGTCTGAATTTATAGTTGTTCTCTCAAACTGTATTTGAACAAACGAACGATTTGTTACTTGGAGCCCATTGTGAACAAAACACCATGGCCAAAGCTATCTCCAAATCTGGAGAAACATCCAAGCTCTTCCAGCCCACTGTGACTAAATGCCCCTACTTACTCTCTCCCTTTCTGGTGGTCAGTTAGCAGATTTCCTGAACTCCTACACATGGAGATTTTGCCCAACACAGACCTTTAGCTCTGAAGGATGAGACATACCCAGCGGGTCTCCACGAGGCTATAAGCCAACAGTTACCTCATGGGAGCTCCTGTGTAACATGTCTGGACCCCAAGCTCAATTAACTACAGAACCATGTGCCTTTTTCAATGCTAGTTGCCACCTCTCCTGCCCTGTTTATATTGAGAACATCGGTGTGCATGAACTTCTGATTTTTGTAATGGATAATGATGGTATTCCTTAATTTCTTTAGCATTAGAGGCCTCAGATACCAAAGAGTGGACTTCCTAGCAATATTAAAGGCAGTTACACACCCTTAAATAGAGAAACTGCTTTTAAAGCTGCTATTAGCTTGGAACTACTTTATCTCTATTTTGTATCAAGACACAATACTCAAACTTTTTTTTTCAGAGAAGCAATATGTTTGTAAATGCTGTGCATATTGGCCACACCCCTCTCCCCAGTGCCCAGGCCAGCCCTGAACAATGGAGTTCAGAAACATCCATTCAGCAGAAGGAGTTTTTGCCACTCGCACTCAAGGTTCTATAGTCCAGTGTAAACAAATCCTGGCAGCACTGACCCCTTTGGCAATGTCTGAGGTGGGGATGGGGAAGAGGGAGCTGTTCCCAGCAGTGGACCCAAAGCTATGGTCAAAATCAAAGCATAACATCCCTTAGGAGTTAAAATAAATGTTTATATTATGGAAATATGACAGCATTGTTATATGGTCCGGTTATGCATGATGTTGCGGTACTGAGAAGGGTAGAAAGAAATAAACGACAGCAATAAGGGTTGGCCATTACTGCTTTAGGGGCAACCTCTGAAAGGGCTGAGGGCCGAGGCAAGTGACCCCAAAAGGCCTAACAGCAGTTTGACAAAGAATGTCAATCTGCTATCAGGATGGAGATACACTGTCTAGTTTTAAAGATGCTTTGATGCCATTACTAATGGTCAATGTGGTACCACTTTTACCTTAGAGGTTTGGGGTTCCCATGAGGGGAATGTTGGTAGAAATTTCCAGGAGAACTCTTTGCAAGGTCAGAGACCTTACAGAGATTCCTAACACGCCCTACAGGCTTTACCGATAGTCTCCAAATTTTCTTATCAACAACTTTCGTGAGTGGCCACTGGGGGCTGGACAATGAACTGGCGATTTTCTTGTGCTAACTAGGTTCTCAATATGCTTCTAAGATATATCTACTAGAATAAGTAAATAACTTATTATTAAGAATAGGTGTAAACATTTACACTTCCTAAGGAGGGGAAGGAGAGAAAACAGTTGGATGCTGGGTTGTCTAGCTTGTGAATGAATGTTAGCATGGAAGGTCGGGCAAGCATTAATAAAAAGACAGAGCTGTCCTGCAACAGCAAGCATGTGAGAGCATGTTACATTACAGGCAAGAGGACAGAAGGGAAAAGGAGGGAAACTAGCCAGCTGCCCAGTTTTTAGACCAGCAGCTGGATTCCTCCACACTGGGGACATGAACCTGGTCCATGATGGGCAGGGGTCCCAGTGGCTTTCCCCAGGTGAGGGTTGCCTCCTCCCAGAGCAAGCACTCCTGAGGGCCAGCTGTGAAGGGAGGATCAGATCCACGAACCCTGGAGATTCCCTTTGTGCATTGATGGCATACATCCTGTCCTGGTTCCTCCCTCCATTGTCCCAGCTATTTCCCCAAAGTCAGAAGGGTGGGCGTGGGGCATTCCCACAGAGCCTCAACTGGCACTCACAAACATTTTTTCAGGCTCAAACTTGTCTAGCCCGAGAGAGGTTGGCATGTTCCTGGGCCTCCTTACGGAGCTTTCTCTGTATCCCACCATTCTTCTTGCTTAGAAACATCAGAAAGGGCTGAGTAGCTGAGGGCTAATGACTAGTCCAACCCGCAGGTAGCCTCCATCAATTCCTAAACATCTCACCTGAGCCCCACTATAACATCAGAAAGTCATTTCAACATCTTGAGAGAAAGATGCTTACACATTACAGGTAGGCATGCATTCTGCAGGAAGATTTTTTTGTGATTTATCCTTTATCCCACCAGCTCGGTGATTAATGTCAGTCTGGCGGCAGTATAGAATTGGGTTGCATTCTGGTTTTAAAGATGCTCAAGTGCCATTCTTGGTGGTTATGTGGGGTCCATCTCACCTCAGGAACTTCATCTACAGTTGCTGATAGGCATCTGCCTTAAAGACAGGTGCCCTGGTGCCCTCAAAGATATTCAGGGCCCAGCAAGATGGACCAGGTCACAGGCTGCAAGTGAAGAAGTCTGGGTTTCATTATCTTGAGCCACATGCCCACTTTAATCTCTTCTTAGCAAGAAGAGTGGCCTTCAGAGCACAGTCCTGGACCCCCACCAGCAGCAGAGAGATCTGGGAATGTGGGGGAAATATAAACTCATCCATGGGCTCCTGCACACTGACAGAACCTTGTGGGATGAGGGGAGAGGCAATGGGTACAGTGTATTCCCATTACCCAGAGCTGGGAGAATCCAGGTGGGCCAGGCTGGATTCTCTGTAACTAGATAAGGAGGCAGGTAGGATAGACCCGGGCTGTTAACTGAGACTGGGTTCAACAGTGATTGGGAAAATCACTGCATGTTGTATCTGAAAGATGAACAAGGTGCTGCCTTTGGCTCTGCTTTGCCCGTTAGGTGGGAGGTTGGGAGGGGCTGTACCAGATAGCCCTTTAGGTTTTGAATGCTCTTGCCTTGACACAAGAAGGCAGCATTTTCCACAGTGCTCCTTGCAACTGTCTCAGCCCTAGAAGTGGCGGCCATTTGGCGCACTTTTTATGAAATACCTTTGAATAATTCCAGGCAGGGGCAGAATTACGATTCTGAGTCAATGCCACGGAGGTCTGGCAGAACTAAATCCAGCTTTTCTGAGCCTGAAGCTTATATCGTTTTGACAGTTCACTTAAACAATACACAGCCTTTTAGATTATAAAACACACAAGCATATGAACATACGACTAGGTCTCTGAGAGGCAGGGTCCTAAGGATGTCCTACAACCTGAGTTCACACTCCACCTGCCCCATCGCAAACCCGCTTCTCACTCTAGGCCCACACACAGATTCCTCTCCTTAGATGTTTCAGTTTGAACTTCTGACTGTGAGCGGGCAATACCAGTCCAGAAGCCAACACGCATCAACTCATCTTCCTCTTCTGTCTCTCCCTTTTCGGTTGTTACAGTTATTTGCGGTCACTGTATATAGTTCTAGAACTGGCCCTGAAAAATGACAGGATGTAAAGACATTTTCCTCGCTCAAAGTCAAGGTGACACGGCTCCTACCCTAATTAACTTTCTCTGTCACCTTGACATATCCCAGAGACATCTGCCTGAGTCTCGAGTACAGGACTGGACAGATCCAATTAGCTTGTGGTCATGTCTGTGCGTGGGATTGTCTTGACTGGTGATTGATGCGATCCCTAGGCAGGTAGGCCTGGGCTGCATAAGAAAGCTGGTTGAGTATGAGCCTGGGAGAGCAAGTCAGTGAGCAGAGTTCCTCTGCAGTCTCTGATTCAGTTCCTGCCTTGAGTTCTTGCTCTTATGTCAGGGATGGACTGTTAGATGGAAGCATAAGATCAAACGAATCCTTCTTTCCACTAACCTACTTTTGGTCATGATGTTTAGCACATAGACAGAAGGCAGACTAGAGCAGCCGCCTGAATTAATCAGGGTTTAAACAAACAGCTTTGGAAGGCGCACTGGCTAGTCACACTTGGCTCACATTTCTAAACAACTGCTGTCGTTCCCTCCTTCTGACCTCCACAAACTCATGCCTGTCTTGTCATTTAAGCAAACAACAGATTTCCCACTCTGTAACTGATTCAGGGACTGGGGGTTGAACCCAGAGCCTTGTATGTGCTAAGCAAGTGCTCTACCAATGAGCTACTTTCCTTGATTTCCACTCTTGAAGCCAGGATAAATTTGATCTGGTTCTCCTAATCTTTAATATCTAAATGAATTGCTTGATGCTCACTGAAATAGACGGTAAGAATCTGGGAGTGGTGTCAAACACCTTCAATCCCAGCACTTGGGAGGCAGAGACAGGTGGATCTCTATGAGTTTGCTGCCAGCCTGGTCTACAAAGTGAGTTCCAGAACAGCCAGGGCTGTTACAGAGAGAAACCCTGTCTCAAAAAACCAAACCAAACAATAACAACAAACCCAAAAAAGAAAAAAAGAAAAGAAATGAAATAGACGGTAGAACCAGGCAGTGTCAAAGGGTGCTCATTCAGCCATAACTTGTGATGGCAAGTCCCCCCTTTAACCCTTTACCTTTTAAACGCCCAGGTGTCTCCTTGCAAGCAGAATGTGGCAGCTTGACCCTGACCTCTGTCCTTCCCCAGGATAGCCTCCCTCTTAAGGACACACAAGTAAACCCCACTCTTTGCCTTCAGAGTTGACGTTCCTGACGACAGTTAATGATTACACCAGTCAGTGTTCTAGGAAGCCTTTAGAGACGGACAATTTGTCCCGCGCTGTGGGACACACGGATCTCCCTCTGTCCCTTTGGATACTTTGGGAAACTTTTCTTAGAGCCACATCATTTGGCTTCAAACTTTGGCCTGTGAACTAAAGCCAGCTTCTAGACTGCGCACCCAGCAGCCTCCCATGCCCGGTGTTCCCCTACCCTCGTGGAAGCCATTCCGTGGAGCGTGCCTCGGCCCAGGCCCTACCTGAGGACAGCAGGCTCCCGCTGCTGCCGCTAATGATCTTCCCTTTGCTCCCCATGTTGGCCAGCTTTGAGGTCTTCAGCGTCCCTGTTTCTGTTAGGTCAATGGCGATCTCGCTCAGACTTCGTGCGGCATGGATCTTGGACTAGAGAAGGAAGGTGAACAGGTTATGGAAGGAACAGAAAACACTGTACTACTTGTAATCCTGAATTCAGGTGCTCATGAGCTCCACGGACTCACAGCCCAGGACTCTGCAGGCTACAGAGCATTCTTTGCAGTCTATATTCTGGGAAAGGCATTCTCATAAAGCCTTATATTCCTAAATATAAGCCAGGGAGGTTGACACCTACCGCGGAGAGGTGAGCCTGGGGTCAAAGGAGATGAGCTGTGTGTACAACATTCCCTCCCTCTAATTCCTTCCTGCCTCCTCTCCTTTCTTCTCTGCTTGTTAGAGGGACAAATAGAAAACTGTATCAAGTCTGCCTCAGCTCCTTGGGGGAGCTGAGGTAGGGAGATTATAAATTCATAGACTGCCTGGGCCAAAGAACAAGTTCAAAGCCAGCTTGGGCAACTTAGTGAGAGACCCGTTCTCAACATAAAAAGTAGAATAAAGAAAGAGGTATAGCTCAATAATAGAGCACCTCTCTAAGGTGTAGAATATCCCAGGTTCAACCCCTAGCAATACACACACACACACACACACACACACACACACACACACACACACATATGTGACCACACTTATTTTATGCTTAAATGAGGAGGGAAAATAAGTATTTAGCTGCATGAATGACAGATGAGTTTTGTGAAACAAATTCATGAAATATCAATAAATTTAGAAGTTATTCAACATTTTTAGTTAATACACCAGCGACCAGGGAACATTCAAGATAATGAAATACTGGCATCGTACATCCTATATACAGACAGAAATCTCGGGTCCCACCAACATCTGTCACAATATTTGTTTCAGTTTTCATTGATGAAATCTAGGAAGACTCCAAAGTCTTCATGTTGCTATTCAAAGTCCACTCCCGTGGTATGCAGATCAACCAATCCACTGTGCTAAGAGTCATAGCAGGGGAGGAGAATCCCAAAACGGTTTTGTTTCATGTTTACAATTATATCCCTAAAAGTGATTAAGTGATTGGGTGTTGTGTGTGTGTGTGTGTTTCGCCAGTAAGGCTATCTGATTTTGTTACACCTTTTATAATGTGGAAGTGTGTTCTATTTTCTTCCTATAGACATTATTTGGCATTTTCAAGTTTGTTGCTGTTGTTTTATAAATCAGTGTGTTTATGATACCGTAAGCATCGTGACAGTCTAAGCACACACTGGCCCTCTTTGGTGGAGGTGGCCACTGCATGAGAGCAGGTCTTTCCATACCCACAAGGCTCCAGACAGAGTCTGACAGCCTTGGTGAGGCCTGCACACCACTGTCCCCTCTTCCTGATTTACGGGCTTCCTCCTTTGCCCATCGGCTGTTATTTGTCCCACAAAGGCTATCTGGGCCCTTGAGGCCTTGCCCTTCCTCTGGCCTGTTGTCGCCTGTACTGATGACCGACAGCGACTTCCGGCCAGAAGAAGCACTGAGACCTTTGCTTTTGTCTTGTTTATCTGATGTGAACCATCTTCCTCCTCCCCTCTTCTCTCCCACTGGTGCTTTGACTTGGGTCTCCTTCCCATCCTCCACTTTCTTACATATAGAACCAGGTTGGCTTCCTCAGGTTAGGGCCCTTGTGCTTATAAACAAACCCAGCTGCCAGGCCTGGCAGCCTTTTGCCTGTGACAGGAAGCAGGAAGGCCTTTCCATTTCACGTGGACTCTCCGTATCTACAGCACCCATCTGGGTGTGCTTTATCCTTCAGGCAAGCAGAGTGAGCACAAGCCATTATTTCCTCTCTTTCTGCGCTGCTGCTGGTTACCAAGACCTGTTGTTTCCATAGAAGCAGCTCACACTTAAACAGCTACAGAGCAGCAGCTCCGAACAGCACACCCCAACAGCACAGTGGCAAGCGCCCAGGAGCTCCTCACCATTCAGCTTTGATCCTTGACCTCTCTGACCCTCACACAGGGATCTTAAAGCCCACATCACACACCAAGGCAGATAGATACTCTATGTCAAGGCCATTGCAATAGGATGGGGTGTGAATTAAGACCCAGGTGTAATTGTGAATGAGGTTAGACTGATGGACCTTCTTGATATTTTAAGGGTCCCATTAATCACATGGGAAACTTGTCCTCAAACAAGCACTCCTCTCTCCTGCTTACAACTTCATCAACCTCAGAGGCAGTAAACCAGAATACGGAAGCAGCAACAACAGACATCCTTTTTTTTAAGGTGGCCTAGATCCTGGTAACTTTATTTACGAACTTTCTGGAATGGGACTATCACAATGACGCAATAGATTCCTTGTGGGGTGAGAACCAAGAAGAAATATAATCAACACTTCCAGGAGGCTCTCTTCTTGCATGATAAGGTCTCTGGGCCAGCCCTGAAGTCCCTAAATATCCCAAATGGCCACTCGGTGTCAGTACTGATGTTCAGTGAGCAAGCCTTAATTCGTTCTATCATGCTGTTTATTTTAGAAGGGATAAATAACAGATTGGATGAAGGAAAGATTAAGGAGGAAAGCTGTCTGCAGTGGGAACCTAACTCCAGAAAGCACCACTCCAAGTTCAGAAGAAAAGCATCCATTAGTTCTTCTAAACAGTGCGAGCTTTCAAATACGTTCCCCTGATGTCTACAAGACATTCTTTGGCTCCAGGATGCACAGGTCACTGATCCTTTGGAAAGCATTTCTGATCCTTAGTAGCAGCAGATATAAATGATCAATTATAATTAGTGTCTGCAGAGCTTTATACACTAAATAAACTGTAGGGAACCAACTTTCCTCCACTCTTTGATGGTGGAAGGTTCTCTTCATGCACATGATGGAGGAAAAAGAAGGCAGAGGAAGGAAAAGGAGGAGATGAGGAGACAGCAGACAGGGAGAGAGGGGAGGCTTTTTTAAATGGTTTGCACAATGACCCTGAAGGGAGAGTACTCTGGGTGTGAGGGAGGAGGAACATGAGCTGTCTTGGCTACTGCTCTCGCTGACTCGAACCACTAGACAGTACTTGTTTCTCTGGGCTTGATAAACATCACTTGCTGGGAGCCCTTCAGAGAAAGGAACGGTTGGCATGGTCCCCATACAGTAGAATGTGAAGCCCTGCCAGGCTGCCAGCTCACACCGGCTGTCCAGAAATATCTGAAGCCTTCTATCCCAGACCTGTTGACAGTCACTCACAGAGTCCATGGTGCCCACCGAAGATGACACATGACATCCCAGAAATGCAATCTAATTCCTACTGAGTGTTTCACCATCTCTGATTTAATGTGGGATCTTCTCAGAAAGTTTAAACTTGGTGCAGCACTGGACAGGGGAATGTGTTAGATTGATCATGATGTTAATAAAACACAATTTTTCTAAAATTAAACACATATTTCCTAAAGCAATTTCACGAGCATCATGTCATTTCGCCAACTACTAATCTTGGTCAGGAAGTTACTTTTTTGTTCTCTAGTTGGAGAAAGCAAAGCACACGTGATAAGAAGCCTACCCAGGTCGTATTGCTGGGAAATAGTCATCTAAATTCCAAGCAGAGGAACTTGGTCCTCCCCTGTCTGTAACATTAAAGAACTGGCTCCTAGTCATGGAGGGCTAAGAATATAGTCAGTGGTAGAACACTCTCTTAGAAAGAGGGTTCTAGGTCCTAGGTTCTAGTACCACAAGAAAACAAACATTTCTTGTCTGATACATATCTAGGGCTCCATTCTCTTGGGAATTTGGCTATTTTCTCTTGTCCTTCAGACTTAACTGAGAAGGACAACTAAGAGCATCCTCATGTTTTTGCCCTTTGGGTTTTGTGTGTGTGTGTGTGTATGTGTCTGTGTGTTTGGGGGTTGTTGTTGTTGTTTTGAAGCAGAGTCTCACTAAGTAAGTAGCCTTGGCTAGTCTGGAACTCTCTGTAGACTAGGCTAGCCCTGAAACAGCCAACTCCCTGTCTTTGCCTCTCAAGAGCTAGAATTACAAGAAGTAGAGTGGGCCACTTCCTAGCTGGGCTTTTCTCTCCTCTCTCTCTTCTTAATAATTTATTTTTATTTTATGTACATTAGTGTAATGCCTGCATTTATGTCTGTGTGAGGTTGTCAGACACCCTGGAACTGGAGTCATAGGCAGTTGGTGCTGGGAATTGAACCTCGTACTCTGAAAGAGCAGCCAGTGTTATTACCACTGATCTGTCTCTCCAGCCCTGGGTTTGTCTCTTAAATAATGTTTCCTGTTTAAAAAATGATTGGTGGTCATTTCTTCCTCAGCTTTACTTACTCTATTTGTGGCCAGCTGGAAGTCTGCTAAACAAGACTCTTTCTCACAGGCAAATGCGTGCTTTTCTTTTTCTCCCCCCAAAATCCCAAGAATAGTCTATTTGAGACACCCAGGAAACTGGGGGGAATAAAAAGCTACAACCCAGCATGGAGAGGAGAACCCCAAGCTGCTGACCCTGCACTATCTTGTGGGTGAAATAGGCTACTTCCTGTCTCCATTGCAGACTAAGGTATTATTTGTGGGGGAGGGGTAGGGTTCTGCCCTCAAGAATCACTGAAGGCAGGACTCTGGAGAAATGCTCAACCTTTCTGCTGGCACTACCTCCCAGCAAGCAACAAGGGATGAAATCAATGCTTGTGGGTGTTGCCCTCCAACTCTCTCTGTTGGAGAGCGGGGCACCAGCCCCCACTCACTGTCCCAATATCTAACATGAGTCAAAACCCTGTGGCCCTGTTTCTTTTGATCTAATTAAGCTTCAAAGGCCAGTGCCAAGGCCCGTCATCACTAGAAGAGGGTAGAATACTCTCGTGACTTTCAGCCACAAGAAAATCCACCCACACCTCTGGATTCTGTCACGCCAAAAGTGAGTAAATAAAGGAGTCAGAAAGACCCTGAAAAAGAGCCAAGAAGGTTCCAGTCCAACCATCCCGATCCATTAACTGTCACCTGCTCCTGAGAACACACAACCTCCTGCGGCTGTTGGGAGCCACTAGAGGGGCCAAGGCTGGTCTTGCCCAGCGCTGCTGTCACCTGAAGCCCACAGAATCCTAACACAAGCTTACAGCCATCTCTGCAGGCAGGGGCCCTTGGGAGACACCTTGATTGAATGGGTGTGGCCTGTGGAGTCCCTGGAAGAGGAGGAAGGGAGGCCAGAGTTGCTATAAGCTGTGTGTGAACCAAGAGCTCATCAGTCTCCCACCCACCAGAAAGCACAGCTGGCTGTCTGGGCCTCGGGTGGAGGAATCGCCTGGGCACAGAGAAGACAGGTTCCCAATGCCCCACGCTCCAGGTCTACCTGAGGCAAACTCCAGCTGCTGCTTTTGTTTTGTTTTCCTTTTCACTTTTCCAGTTTTAACTTTTAAAAACAGAGTTGGCAGTTGGAAAAGCCTGAAGGGCTTTTCACAGCAATTTCCCTAAGCGGTTAGTCGGGTCTCTCTGTTGAGGATGGTTATCTGGCCCGCTCCAAAGAAAACAATATACCATCGTTTAAACATCAGTAAGGGTTTGAGAACTTACTCCTGAGAGAGTCTCCAGGGCCCCCAAAAGTATGTTCAGAATTCTTCCTAAGGGCCCTGTGTGGCTGTTGCTGAGGCTTGAGCACCTCTGCAAGCAGCACCCGGCATAGCCTTTTAATGAGCTGCTGGTGTTCCTCCTACCTGCAGCCCTAAAAGGCAACAAGCCCTTACCCAGGTAGGTCTCGAGCCAATGAAACAGCCTTTCCTCTCCTACCCATCTAACTCTCATCTCTCAACGGCAGCCTTGAGGCCCAGTTAGCTGCCTGGTGGAAGGTCCGGCTGCTTACCTTACTTTGCTTTCTGTCCAGATAGAACTGATGTTGGCTAATCGCCATCGCCCAAATGGACTTGATTAATGCCGGACATGCATACCACGTGTGCACAGCAATGCCACTGTGCCCAAAAGTCCTCCTGGTCACCGAAGCCCTGGAAAAGCAAGACCCACAAGCTTCCTTCAGTTTCTGTGATGGGGAAAAGGTCATTCATCAAACAGTTTCAAGTGAGAGCCCAGTGATGGGCCAGGGACAGAGGCGTTCACAGAAGCACAACATTCACGTACATACACCCTGAAGTATATGGCCATGCTATGTCTAGAAACTGGCTCCTTAAGCTTTAGCCCTAGGACAAGATGGGTCACTCTAGGTCAGTTGATGGTCCTTTTTGATCTTCAGCTCCTGGCACAGAGCCAAGACAAATCTCAGAGCCAGGAAAAGCCTCTGACAATGCTCTTCATTAACCAGGCAAGGCTGCCTATGGTGAAGATGGGTAAATTCTTCCCTCATCTCCACAGCCCCGAGCACTTCCTACATGGTAAGACTTCCTGCATCACTCTAACTAGATAGATGTTCCCTGGAAGGTCTGGTTATCCAGTACAGACACATTCCCAGAGCACAGAGCTACTTCAGAATCAGGAGGCGGCAGAGAAAGAGGAGCCAGCCATTCCCCCCTACACTCTGCATACTTAAAATTCTAACTGGAGTATCTGTGGAGTAGAAAGAGGCAAGCGGAGTTTAAAAATAAAAACAGGAAGCATTAGTCTCAACACATTGATGGTGTTTGGGTTGGGGATAAAAGATTTATAGGGCTGCCTTTTCTTGTTGTTGTTGTTTTGCTTTTGTTTTTGTCTTTTCCCTGTGTAGCCCTGGCTGTCCCGGAACTCACTATGTAGACCACAGTGGCCTGGAATTCAGGAAGTTGCCTGCCTCTGCCTCCTGAGTGCTGGGATTACAAGTGTCTGCCACCATCAACAGCACCTGTGAAGTATATGCTCTAGGATATGCTGGTTAAACCTGAGAACAGGGCCAGAGAGATGACTTGTTGCCAGACCTGACAACCTGAGCTTGATCCTTTGGAACCACACAACGTAAGGAGAGAAAGGACTCCTGGAAGTTGTCGGCTGACTTCTATCACACACACGCACACACACACACACATGCACACACACACACACACACACACACACACGAATATACACGTGCTCACAAAGGCAACACATATGCACATATACACAAAATAAATGTAATTCTATTTTTAAAATATTTCAAAATCTGAGAACATATTCAAGTGTTTGTGTGGGGAGACGGGAGGGGAAAGGAGGGAGAAAGGGAGGGAGGGGAGAGTGAGGTGGGTCTGGGAAGATGGCTGAGTGGGCAAAGCACTTAGCCTACAAAGTATGAGGACTCTGGGTTTGGATTTCTGGATGTCCTGTTAAGTTGGACGCCATGGCAGGTACACCTGTAACCCAGTGCTCTTATGCCGAGAAGGGAAGAGTGCCAGCTCGGTAACCCCTGAAAGCTTTTGTGCCAGCTAGCCTGGCATGAGTAGCAAAGAACACAGCACCCCATCTCAAGCAAGGAGGAAGATGACCTCTGACCTCCACATGTGTGCTGTGGACCTCACAAACACATACACTGTACATACCAAACGAGAAGTGGGGGAGGGGTGATGGCAGACTGGGGTGTAACTGGGGCACCTGATCTGTGTGTCAGAAGCAGTATCAATGGTTTTAAGATGAAAATATCTAGTTGGAAAGAACTGCAAATTCATCAGGACTTATGAATAATAACATTTTTTTTTCCGCACTCCATTTTTCTTTAAAATTCAATACTGGTCTTATTGTCCTACTCTATAAGCTAAAAAGTTAACAGTGGGGCTTCTTCATAACCACATTTAAGGGGAAATTAAAATCTGGTGGCTAGAAAGTGACTCTAGGCAGGTTGCGTTGCTCCCCTCCCCCAGTGAGTGAATATATCAGTGAGTGAAACAGCTCTGTGGGGAGAAACTGAAAAGGGGGCAGAGAAAGAGTGAGGAACCCCCCTCCCAGGTCTCTGGCGAGTCAAAGTAGCTGCCATCTGAGTAAATGAAAAGAAATTGGTTGGGAGTAAATGAAAAGAAATTTCTCCTGCCCCCCAGGAAAGGTAGAAAAAGTAACTTGAAGTATACTTTTGTGAGAGAGGGGGAGGGTGTGTAAAATCCAGGTAACATGAGTACAAAAGGCCTAAGTGGTTCGTTGGGTCTGGGAAGTCAGTTTCATGGGAACATCTACATCAGATACTCAGGGTTTTCTCCTGCTCCATCAGGAACTTATCTCCTCTGCTCATCTCTCCCCTCAGCCCTTCCCACCTCACTGAAGCCTCACCTCAGCACGAAGCCTCAGCAATGGATCAGTGTTTGCTAAACCTAGACTGTAACAGAAACAGAGGTAAGGAAGTACAGTGTGTGTGTGTGTGAGAGAGAGAGAGAGAGAGAGACATCCTCCACAGATTCTGTGTTCCATGGGGCACAGTAGGCAAGGAGAGGTTGGGCTCACTTCTGTCCCATTCCGCCCAGAAAGCAGTCTTGGCACCAAGTGATATGGTTGTCATGGTGGACTCAGGGCTTGTTTTCCTCAGGGAAGAGGCTCACACTCTGAACTCAGACTGCCATCTTTGGGCTTTTCTGTCCACATAAAACCCTCCCTCCTCTCATTACCTCAGTCAGTCCTAGTAACCCCATGAGTTTCAGCTCAGATCTCTCCTCCTCAGGAAGCCCTGCACGAGCAGCAGGGCCTCTGGTGTCCACCTCATTCAGCACTTTGGTTGTGCCAGTTGACCTCATACTCATGAACCCTGGCCTTAGACTTCTATGGTTCAAATCTAGCCTGTGCCATATACTAGCTATCCACAATCCATTTCCGTGCTTCCATTTATTTCCTGGGTCATGTGGGGAGCAAATGAGTGCCAGTATCCAAACAGTGCTCACACTTGGCAAACCCCATCTGGTGTCCCCAGTTCTGCTGGAAGTTCCTAATGGAGGAAGATGCTGATCCATCATATCTAATGTAGAAGACCATAGAAGTTCTCAAAACATGTATGAGACGGATTCTGTTTTGCTAAATAAGCCAAAAGCCCACCATGTGATAATGTCTGATGTTAGGTGTCTTTCCTATATCCCTAGATCCTGGCAAAGTGAAATGAAGTTAGTAATTATATCACTGATGAGATCACAGACATAGAATGAAGACACATATGTGTATAACACACACACACACACACACACACACACATAGTGAAAGGGTTTCCCCCAGCACAAGCAGAGCATAGGCATGGAGACAGCCTATTCCCTGCGATCAGGCCCACAGGCAGTGCCAGGCATCCCTCTCTATGTGATCCGTGCTGTAGAATTCATTTCACCCCTTTTTGTACTTCGGTTTCCTTTCCTCTCATACATAAATTCACCTGGAAAAATAGCAGCGAGTTTCTCCTCCTCGGCTGGATTGTTATTTTTGGCACCTGCCTGCCCCTCCTTGGCCTGTGCTCCATGGAGGAGGGTCCTTAGAGCATGAAATGCAGCCTAGGGTCCTGAGACCCACCGAACGAGCCATCCTTCTGCCTCATGGTACCCTCTGCACCTGACTGCAGGTCTCAGATGCTCTAGAACATTCCGTTCTCTAGCTGCTAGCCTCATAGTAACTGCGGGGCAGGGTTAAACTTTCACTGCAGGAGGGAGGCTGCTCCTTGTAGATTACACAGAGGTACACAACACAGCCGGTTATCAGCAGCAGCAGGCATGAGGGCTCCTGCACAAACCTCGGCCTTCTCAGAGGCAATGCCTCATCCTGAGTCCCCAGCTCCATGGAGGGCACTCGGAAGCCTTGTGTGAAGTGGGGTGGCTGCCAGCACTTCCTCCTAAGTCTAGCACTGGGTGTCAACAGGGCCAGAACCTGCTTTGGCTCCTTGAGGGCATCTCATCTATTTAGTGTCTTCCCAGGCCTGCTTTTCCTGTCAGCCTGCATCTGGACCTGCAGACAGCACTTTATTCCTAGGTGTCAGGCACGGCTTAGGGAATGCTGCTGCTGGCTATGGGCTGCTTGCTTGCAACTCTAGGATTGCCAGCAGACAAAGAGGAAAAGCACGGGGTAGCCGGTGTCCAGACTCTTTCCCTGCAGGACTCCCTGCATTACTAACTGGAACCCTATTTATTGTCTGACATGCAGCTCAGAACGCAGGGTCTTAAGGCTGGTGTTCTCTGGTACAATGCGGAAAAAGGAAAGAGAACTGCATTTATTTCACATCCGCCTACAACACTAACATTCAGGAAAAAAAAATCACAGCTCCCAGACCAAAATAAATGGGCCTAAAGCCACATTGGTGACAGATGCCTTTCATTGTCCACTGTCCTGCCTGAAATAGGCTCAGCACCTCTGGCAAGGAAGCCTTCGGTCTCCTGTCTGTAATTCAACGTTGTTACAAAGTGCCACAAAATGCTTCCTCCATCATAACACACACACACACACACACACACACACACACACACACACACACACACACACACAC